CCTGAAGTTTGCAAAATGAAGCTTATAATTCCTGATTGGAATTGCTGGTACAGGGACCTTCCTTGCTTGAGTGCAGCTGTCACATGAGGCAGTGACTCTGAGGCCTCTGTTGTCCTGCACAACTAAGGGTGGTTTTAAGTCTGGGGCAGCTTGTTTGTAACTCTCACATAAAGTCATGGAAAGCCATGCAATACTGAAATCCTTAAAACCCAAGCATACAGAAACCTGGCAGATATAAATTTTAACTGCAGTAAGGCCAGAATAATTTCAGTTTATCCAATGAAAAGAAAAATAACCTTTTATTACTTGGTAGTTCTAGAATAAATTTAGTTAAAAGTGCATGGAAAGTTTTTAGTTACTGCCACACATGTTCTTTTCCCTGGTCCTTGGTTGTGTGCCACTTCTTCATACCATTTTCTGTCCTCAAAAGGAAAAACCTTTCAAGTGTTTTTTTTCTCTATTGATGAAAGTAATATTTGATTATTATAAAAATTCAGAAAAAGCAGACTGTATTAATCTATCGATATCTATGTATCTGCGTATCTATCAGCAATTAGGGATAATGCTGTAGATGTTTTGGCATGTATCCTTCGAGTCTTTTTTTCTTTGAATATATATAGATATAGATATATAGTACAGTATATATATACATACACACACATATATATATACACACACACATATATAAGGATAGTATGGTATATAAGAAAAAATATGTATATATACTGTGCTATTATCAGTTTCACTGGGATCACACTACATTTATCAACATGACATTGACATCTTCACACCAGTAAATACCACACTTTTCATGGTTGCATAGTGTTCCATTTTATGCACGTCATGACTGATTATTCCATGACCAATGTTCTAAATGAGCCTTGGGGGACTTCCAGTCAAGATGGAGACATAAGTAAACACACCTCACCTCCTTGCCCAATTACAAGAAAAATTACAACTAGATTACAAAACAAATATCACCAAGAATTGTCAGAAAATCAAGCTGTAAGGAAGTCGGAGAACCAAGGATTTAAAGAAGTCATGTTCATCCAGATGAGTAGGAGGGGTAGAGATGCATGGAGAAGTGGAGAGGCATGGAGACACAGAATGGGAGGTCCCACATCCATGTGTGTAGATAATAATTAGGAGGGATACCTTGGGAATGAGGGATCCCAGCCCCAGACAAGACCACCCAGCTCAGGGTTCCAGCACCAGGAAGGTAAGTCCCTATAACTTCTGGCTATAAAAACCAGTGGAGGTTCGGGTGGCAGATGAAACTGCAGGATTCTCAGGAGACTCCTCTTAAAGGGCCTGCAATGGACTTAGGACTTACACAGACTCACCCCTCTAGGATTCAGCACCAGGGAAACAGCTGGAAGGGTACCAATAGCATATGGGGAGAAAGTGAAGTGTTTAGCATCAAGGTGAGTTCCAGGAGACAACTTCCTCCTTCGTAAAACTCCAGAGGTCAGGCAGCAGCATTCTCTCCTCTCTGAAAGCTCCCCCCACAGAGCCACAGAGTAGTAACATGGGTTGCCCTCCCCTGGTGATTACCTAAGGCTCTCCCATACAACTCAATGGTCTACTTTTCTACAACAGGCCATGTTACTAAGGGAATAAAAGTAGATATACCTAATATATAGAAATAAACACAAGGAAGCTGCCAAAAAAAGGACATAAAAAATGTGACTCAAATGAAAGAACAGAACCAAACTCCAGAAAAGGAACTAAGTGAAATGGAGATAAGCAACCTATCAGATGCAGAGTTCAAAACACTGTCTGTTAGGATGCTCAAGGAACACATTAGGTACTTCAACAGCATAAAAATACCAGGGCAGAAATGAAGGTTACATTAAGTGAAATAAAGAAAAATCTACAGGGAACCAACAGTGGAGGGGATGAAGCCAAGAATCACATCAACAATTTGGAACATAAGGAAGGAAAAAAAGCATTCAATCAGAACAGCAAGAAGAAAAAGTAATTTGAAAAAATGAAGTTAGATTAAGGAGCTTCTGGGACATCTTCAAATGTACCAACATTCAAGTTATAGGGGTGCCAGAAGCAGAGGAGGAAGAGCAGGAAGTTATAAACTCTTGAAAAAATAATGAAAGAAAACTTCCCTAATTTGGTGAAGGAAATAGATATACAGGACCAGGAAGCACATGGTTCCAAATAAGAAGGACCCAAAGAGGACCATACCAAGACACTTCATAACTAAAATGCCAAAGGTTAAATATAAAGAGAACATCTTAAAAAGCAGAAAGAGAAAAGCAGATAGTTACCTACAAAGGAGTTCCCATAAGACTGTCAGCTGATTTCTCAAAGGAAACTTTACAGGATAGAGTGGATGGGCAAGAAATATTGAAATTCACAAAAAGCAGGAACCTACCACCAAGATTGCTCTACCCAGCAAAGCTGTCATTTAGAATTGAAGGGTGAAGAGCTTCCCATAGAAGAAAAAACTAAAGACATTCATCATCACCCAACCATTTTTATATGAAATGTTAAAGGGGCTTTTTTAAGAAAAGAAGATGAAAATTGTAAACAATAAAATGGCAATACATACATATCTATCAACAATTGAATCTAAAAAACTAAGCAAACAAGAGGAACAAACAGTGATAGGTATGGAGATAATTTGGGTGGTTACTATTTGGGAGGGGGAAGGGGGATAAAAGGGGAAAAGATGCAGGGATTAAGAAGTACAAATTGATAGGGACAAAATAGGAGGTTAAGAACAGTATAGGAAATGCAGTAGCCAAAAAACTTGCATGCATGACCCATGGACATGAACAAAGGGGGGGGGACATGAACAAAGGGGGGGGGGTTGCCTGAGGGAGTGGGGTTGCTGGGTGGAGGCGGTCAAAGGGGGAAAAGTTGGGATAACTGTAATAGCACAATCAAAATATATTTTAAAAAATAAGTGATCTGGGGGCTTTCCTAGGAGTGGTTCCTTCCTGGTCACTTACCCCTCAGTCAGAGGTGGTTGATGACTTAGGGTTTCTGAAATTATTTTCTTTTGTCAATGATAATGGTCAGTGATAGCCCTCAAAGCAGAGATCATGCATGGTAAAGGCAATATAAGTCTGTAAAAAATTAGCTCAAAACCCACTGCATTTAGGAAGCCTTTCCTGACTGAGCCTTACTCCATTGGGTCACTCTGTCTTCTGTATCCCAAGAGAAGAGGGACAGGATAGTATGCAGGAGCATGGGCTTTGGAGCCAGAATGCAAGGGTACACATTTTGGCTTTTGTGACATTGGGCATATTACTTAACATTTCTGTGCCTCAGTGTTCTCATCTGTATAATGGGGATAACAGTAGTACCTACCTTTTAGACAGGTTGAAATGATTCATGCCAGAAGGACCTCCTGGCACATAGCTAGTACTCAATGAATGGCAAGATTTCTTTCTATTACTCAGTTGTTCCAGTGGCCCGTCCAGTTTGTGGTTTCGAGAGTTGATCTGTATGCTTGGGGAGCCCAAATAGATTATAGACTGAAAATTTCAGATGCCAAAGTGACTTGACAGGATTTTCCATGCAGTGAGCCCCCAGTCAAGATTGCTGTTTGGTTGACCCAAACTGACTTGCTACAGTTGTGGGGTCTTCTTGGTTGTATTTGGCCTTCATTTCCCATTGAAAAAAAATCAAAGCAAAACAAAAGGGAAACCTCAGAAACCTTGAGAAGTAAATGTAGGTGAAATGCAGTACTTTCAGATAGGTGAATATTGTACCTCTGGGCCTTCCTACACTCTGAGGAAATTCTTTTTATTTTTTAAAATGCTTACCCAAGGGCATTTTTGTTGTTGCTATAAGAGAGAGAGGGAGGGAGAGGGGAAGAGGGGGGAGAAACATCAGTGCAACAGAGAAGCATCAGTTGGTTGCCTCCCATATATGTCTGGCCTGGGGATCATATGTGCCCAGACCAGGATCAGGGATCACACTCGCAACCTAGGTATGTGCCCTGACCAGCAACCTTTTGGTTATGGGACAATGTGCCAACCAACTGAGCCACACTGGCAGGGCTCTCTGAGGAAGTTCTTAACTAGGAGAATTTAGAATTCTTAAGTGATAGTTAAAATGACAAAAAATACATAAAAGCACTAAAAGCCATTATTCTGAAAGACAAGTGTACAGGAAAAGAGTACATAAAGTCTTGTATTCCTTCATTTACTTGGTATTCTTGGAAATGAAATTATTTCTAGTAAGTAAATTTTCTAGATGGTGGAAGTTTATTCATTTAACCACTATAACAGTTTGCATTTTAACTGTTTTGATGTACTTCTTTCTAATGCATGTTGCATGGTTTACAGCTTTCATTTGGAAGAAACAATTCAGCCAATTTGTTAAACTTTGATTCTGCATTATTAACATATTGTTGTCATTTTTTTTAGCTCTGACAAATAATCTCAAAGCCATTTGTCCTCTAAAAGAGTTAGACACTATACTCTTACATAGCTCTTCACTTTTTTTCCTTTCACTTTTTTTTCCCACTGACAGGGTGCATCAGTTTTTATTTTTACTACAGATATGAGCATAATTGCTTTCCCCATCTCCAAAATGCCTTTCTTACTTATTGATTTATGAATTTTATATCCTGGGAGAAATAACCCAAGTCTGTTACTATATTGTGTAAAGTAAAAATAATAGGCATTGAATGAAATCATGTATTTAGTGATAGGTTTTTTTGTTGTGTTTGTTTCTTTTACCAGTCAAGGACTTTAAAATTTTACTTCCCAGATGCAGGCTATTATCTGGTAGAAGTTTGACTCTGGGTAAAATGTCATTTTATTAGATTATAGTACTTACGGTTTTCTGTTGTAGCACTGGGGCCTTCCTGCTGCTCATAAGTAGAAAAATTAAATTAAAGAAAAACAATCACTTGTCCTCTTTGCAGTTGGTAAAAGTTCTGTAAAATGGTATTCGAAGATTTTTTTTATAGCAAGAGAAGGAAAATATTCTCATATAATTTCATGAGTGTTTTTGCATTTTCTTTACAGAGAAATACTGATGAATATAACTCTTGGAAAACTCACAGACCAAGAACTTATAACTATTGTACGTCACTATGGGGTACCTGAGGAACCATGTACAGATGTGAATATCTTAATTGGAGTGGCACATGAACACTTCAAGAGAACCCTGTTTGAGAATTTTGATAGACTTATTTCTTGTTGTGTATATGAAGATCGAGAACAGTAAGTTTTTATTGATTCTGGTAAATAATTTAAGTTTCTGTGATCCTGAGTAATGAGGAAATTTTTATTTTATCAAAAAGGGCAAGAAGAAAATTGACATCTCATTATACTCTACTATTTAGCAAAACCACCTTAAATCATTTTTGGAGAGTAACCAGGTAAAAATATGTCATAGTGATGGTAAGCTTTATTTGTTGATGGAATAGAGGAGGCACTGTATCTTCTAAAGAATTGGATGCTCCTTTGCATTTTCTTTTACTTGGTTTTTGAAGCTTTAAACTGAAAGATAGAAAATCAAGCTGTTAGGAGGTTTAATTCTGAGATTTCTTCTTCTTACATAATTTTAGTGATAATTGGGATTTATAAACAGGACTTCTGTAATATACAAATCAGGGAACTTGCAAGTAAACTTTCTTTAGAATTTCTTTGAAATTTTTTCTTGAAAATATAATGTTCATGCAGTATAATCTGTTTATAGTACATTTATCACACTTATCATATTTGTATTGAGCTTTATTAAGTTATTGTTATAAACAACCTGAGCCCCATCTTAATATATTTTGGCATTCATCTCACCACAGACCTGATGTAGTGGGGGAATGTACTCATGTGGAGTTCAAAGTTCTTAGTTCTAATTCTAGCTTCTAATTTTGTTACTACACACCAGTGCCTTCTGACTTCCTCCTGACCCCTTCCTTCAATCCCCAAACCTGAAGTCTGCTGCATACCCTGTATCTTCGAAGGTCCTATAGTTTATCTTCAGAATGAACATGATTTTTTCCTAATCCATACTATATCCTCTTTGAGTTTTTATAAAAATGGTATTTTTACTTGAATATTTATGCTTCCTTGAGCCTCCCAGAGGATGTGGGGACGGACCTTTGCATAACCCTGGCCTTACCTTTTACCTTGGTGGTATCTTCCCCAGGGTGAAAAGTGTGGCTCTCCTTCACCAAAGGAACACTTCTTGGGAATAATTGGGCTTCTTGATCAGATATTTCTGGGATTTTTCCAGATCTGACAAGTTTTGATTCTAGACATAAATAAATTTTCTCTAAAAATTGTATAATCTCATTGTAAAGAAAGAAGCCTACTTTCTTTCCTATTGGTTCTAATTTTGCTCATTGCCTGGAAGAACCGTGGCTGAGTGAGAACAATGGGTAAGCATTTGCCCCACCAGGCTGGGGAAAATAACTGTTGGGCTGCTGTGGAGAAAAATCTGAAAAATTTGACATGAATGTTAAGGCCCAGCTGGGGCTTCCAGGTAGTAAGGTTTGGAGCCAAGGAAAAGACTAGAAAAAACACCCTCAAGTCATATAATATTTGTGTTGGAGGCTCTAGAAGCCTGTCAAATTAAGAGATGTTTTCAAACATCAGAACCATTTTTTGACTAGTGGTGAAGAATGCAGATCAGTTACTTAGAGCAACACTCATGGCTGCAGCCTTAATAGGCTCTACTATCACCAACCAAGAATCCTAATCTTGATGTAAAGACCTTTGAAAGGACAAACTCTTGTGACTTCTGATGTAGAGAAAGTTGATGAAATGCAATGAGACTGCTTTTCCTTACTATTAATTCCAATACTAGTTTTCATAGTTATTCCCATGTGCATATTTTAAAACAATGTATTTTTCTTTCCTATAGTGTACAACTGTTATTCGAGAGACCCAAAGTATATATAAAGTAATTTATTTTGTTTTAATCCAGAAAAAAAGTATTACCCAGGAAAGACATCAAAAGGCTGTGCAAGTCCTCTAGCTTACCTTTGAGTGATGATCTTCTAGAAGCTTTATTGTGCAAGTAAGTGAGATCTGCATCCTTCATAGGAATTGTCCTGCATGTTTTTGTTTAGGGGACTATTGTTGGTTTAATATTAACCTTTAATTACTTTTGAGGTATTCTCTGTTTTGATTATATTATTGATGATATACCTCCATTTAACTGTTGCAAAAGGAAAAGTTACTTATGATTTTGAATGTTAGAGAGCCTACTATGAATTATTATTTAATCTTTTTTGCCATAAGACATACTTATATACACACAGGTTTGTGCAACAGAATGAAAATGTACAGCTTCATTGGTTATGAGGGTATGAGATATAAAATTCAGGGCATGTTTTTCTGCTTTCTCATTGTACTTTTTCCCATTACAATTTATCCTTCTTAACCCACCCCCTACAGTCATCACCCTGTTGTCTATGTCCATGATTCCTTTTTCCTTCATCTCTCTACCCCTTAACCACCTCCTCATAGCTGTCATCTTGCTCTCTATCTATGAGTCTGTCTCTGTTTTGCTTGTTTCTTCAGTTTGTTCATTAGATTGCATATATGAGTGAAATCATAGATTTGTCTTTTTCTAAGTGGCTTATTTCACTTAGCATAATGTTCTCCAGGTCCATCCACGCTGATGCAAAGGGTAAAATTTTCTTTCTTTTTTTTTTTTTTTTTTACAGCTGAGCAGTATTTCATTATGTAAATGTCCCATGGTTATTGTCTCCATTTATCTGCTGATGGGCACTTGGGCTGCTTCCATATGTTGGCAATTATAAATAACACTGCATAACAAAAAAAAAGCATAGGGGTGCTTTTGTTCTTTCCAATTAATGTTCTGGGTTTCTTCAGATATATTCTCAGAGGTGGGATCACTGGGTCAAAAGGCAGTTCCATTTTTAATTTTTTGAGGTATCTCCATACTGCTTTCCACAGTGACTGCACCAATGTGCATTTCCACCAACAGTACAAAAGGGTTCTCCTTTCTCCACATCTTTTCTAGGACATGTTGTTTATTGAGTTATTGATGATCGCCATTCTGACAGGTTGAGATGATATTTCATTGTGGTTTTAATTTGCATTTCTTTTATGTTAGTGACATTGAACAACTTTTCATAATGTCTATTGGCCATCTGTATGACCTCTTTGGAGAAGTGTCTATTAAGTCCTTTGCCCATTTTTTAATTGGATTGTTCTTTTTTTTGTTTTTTGGTGGAGTTTTGTACAAATTTTGGATATTAACTTCTTATCAGATATATTGACAAATACGTTCTCCCATTCCACACGTTTTTTTATTTTGTTGATGGTCTCCTTTGCTGTGATGATTTAGTTTACATCAACTAAATTCTTTAGTTTGATGTAATCCCATTAGTTTATTTTTTTTTATTTGTTTCTCTTGCCAGAGGAGATACATGAGATAAAATATTGCTATGAGCAATGTCCCAGATTTTCTTGCCTATGTTTTCTTCTAGGATTTTTATGGTTTTCTCCTAACACTTCAGTCTTTAATCCATTTTGAATTTATTCTAATGTGTGGTGTAAGAAGGCAGTCTGGTTTCATTTTTCTATACGTATCTGTCCAGTTTTTCCAACAGCATTTATTGAATAAACTATCTTTAGCCCCATGTATGTGCATGTTTTCTCTCAAATATTAGTTGACTGTGGGTCAGATATTAAAAGCTGTGGGTTTATTTCTGGGTTCTGTATTCTGTTGCATTGATCTATATATCCTCTTTTATACCAATACCATGCTGTTTTGATTACTATGGCCTTATAATATAGTTTGACATTAGGTAGTGTGATTCTTCCGTCTTTGTTCTTTCTCAGGACAGCTGTTGCTATGCAGAGCCTTTTGTGCTTTCCATATAAATATTTGAAATATTTGTCCTAGTTCTGTGAAATATATCACTGGTATCTTGATAGGAATTGCATTGAATCTGTTCATTGCTTTGGGTAGTATGGACATTTTAATGATGTTAATTTTTCTTGTCCATAAACATGGTATATGCTTCCACTTAGTATCTTAATTTCTTTCCTCAGTGTCTTCTGAATTTTCTGAGTACAGGTCTTTTACATAATTGGTTAGATTTATTCCTAGGTATTTTATTCTTTTTGTAGCAATCATGAATGGGATTGTTTTCTTAATTTCTCTTTCTGATAGTTCATTATTGGTATATAAAATGCAACCGATTTCTGGATATTAATTTTGTATCCTGCTACTTTGCTGAATTCATTTATCAGTTCTAGTAGTTTCTAGGTGGATGGAGTCTTTAGGTGTTCTATGTACATTACCATGTTATCTGCAAACAAAGACAATTTTACTTCCTCCTTTCCAATTTGGATGCCTTTTATTTCTTCTTCTTGTCTGATATGGCTAGGACTTCCAGCACTATGTTGAATAAGAGAGGTGAAAGTGGACATCTCTGTCTTGTTCCCAATGTGAAGAGGAGTACTTGTAGTTTTCGCCCATTGAGTATGATGCTGATAGTGGAGTTTGTCATATGTGGCCTTTATTATGTTTAGTTATGTTACTTCTTTTTTAAAAATTTTATTGATTATGCTGTTACAGTTGTTCTATTCCCCCTTTCATTCCCCTCCACCCTACCTCCCCATCCCCACCCTTACCCCCCCTTTAGTTTATGACCAAGTGTCTCAAGTCCTTTAGATTCTATATTTCCCATGCTATTCTTGCCCCCCCATCTATTTTCTATCTACTGTCTATGCTACTTATTTTCTGTACCTTCTCCCCCCTTCTCCTCCTCCCACTCCCCTGTTGCTAACCCTCCTTGAGATCTTCATTTCTATGTTTCCACTCCTGATCTAGCTGTCCTTTTAGTTTGCGTTCATTTTAGATGTGGTTGTTAATAACTGTGAGTTTGTTGTCCTTTCACTGTTCATGTTTCTTTAACTTCTTTTTCTTAGATAAGTCTCTTTAACATTTCATATAATAAGGGCTTGGTGATGATGAACTCCTTGAATTTGATCTTCTCTGAGAAGCACCTTATCTGTCCTTCCATTCTAAATGAAAGTTTTGCTGGATAGAGCAATCTTGGTTGTAGGTCTTTGGATTTCATGACTTGGAATACCTCTTTCCAGCCCCTTCTTGCCTGTAAGGTCTTTTTTGAGAAATCTGCTGACAGTCTGATGGGGACTCCTTTGTAGATGACTGTCCCCTTAGCTCTTGCTGCTTCTAGGATTCTCTCCTTCATTTTAATTTTGGCTAATGTAATTATGATGTGCCTTGGTGTGTTCCTTCTTGGGTCCAACTTCTTTGGTACCTTCTGAGCTTCCTGGATTTCCTGGAAGTCTATTTCCTTTGCCAGATTGGGGAAATTCTCCTTTATTATTTGTTCAAATAAGTTTTCCTCTGGTGGCTGTGCCTTTCCCCCTTCTGGTACCCCTATAATTCGGATGTTGGAGCGTTTAAAGATGTCCTGGAGGTTCCTAAGACTCTCCTCATTTCTTTGAATTCTTGCTTCTTGACTCTTTTCTGTTTGGCCATTATTTGCTTTCTTCTGGTCCACTCCATTGATTTGAGTCCCAGTTTCCTTTTCATTGCTATTGGTGTCCTGTGCAATTCCATTCATTTCAATTAGTTTCGCCTTCATATATTTGTCTAATTTGTGGCTATAATCAACCAGTTCTGTGAGGATCCTGATGACCAGTGTTTTAAACTGTGCATCTGAGAGTTTTGCTATTTCTTCATCGCTTAGATCTATGGGCTCTGGGGCTTTGAGATCTTCTTGCGCCATTTTTGGTCTGTTCGCTCCCTTTAAGTGTGAGAAGCAGCGCCTTGGACTTCCAGGTCGCTGGGTTGTGATGCTGTATGTGGGGGCGTGGTCAGAGCAGGGAAATGGCGACCCCTCTGCTGTTTCTCACAGCTGGGTGAGGATCAGCGCCTTAGGTGGTTCACCAGGGCCGGGCCCCTCAGAGTCGCTGGGTTATGACGCTGTATGTGGAGGTGGGGTCAGAGTGGGGAAATGGCGGCGCCCTCCACTGCCACTTGCTGCGGGGACCCGCCGGCCGGTCCAACCGCCCACTCACTTGCCTGTCCACCCGCGCACAAATGCGCGACCACAGTCAACATGCAGCACCACTCCCCCATTGTCTCCCCCGCGCTCCCTCGCCTGGTCGCTTGCTTGGTCGCTCACTAGGTCCAACCCTGCGCCTGGATTCTGCGCGTCTGGATTCCACGCCTGAGTCCGTCTGACCGAGTTTTCCTGTGCAACCCTGCTTCACCAGCCGCTGGTTTCGCCCCTTACCGGTCAGGCTGAAGAATTTGTTGTTAACAGACTTCCGAAAAGTTCAATTTTCCGTGTTCTGGCTGTGTTTTCTGTTGCTAATATTTAGTTGTCTCTAAACTTGGTTGTGTGAGAAGGTACGGCACATCCACCTACACCTCCATCTTGGCGGAAGTCCTAGTTATGTTACTTCTATTCCTACTCTTCTGAGAGTTTTTATCATAAACAGGTACTGGATTTTATCAAATGCTTTTTCTTCATCTATTGATATGATTATGTGGTTATTATTCTTCACTTTTTATGTGGTGTATCACATTAACTCATTTGTGAATATTGTACCAACCTTGCATTCCTGGAATTAATCCTACTTGATCATGCCTTATGATATTTTTTATACATTGTTGTATTGTTTCCTCACATTTTGTTGAGGATTTTAGCATCTATTCATCAGGAATATTGGCCTATAATTTTCTTTCTTTGTAGTGTCCTTATCTGGTTTTGAAATTAGGGAAATACCAACCATAAAACGAGCTTGGGAGCCTTCCCTCCTCTTGAATTTTTTTAAATAGTTGAGGAGAGGTGCTGGTACTACTTGGAATGTTTGGTAAAATTCACCTGTCAAGCCATCTGGTCCAGAGCTTTTGTTTGCTGGGATTTTTTTTTTTTGATTACTGCTTCAATTTCACTAGCTGTAATCTGTTTGTTCAGACTCTCTGATTCTTCCTGATTTTGTTTTGGAAGATTGTATGATTCTATGAATTTATCCATTTCATCCAGGTTATCCAATTTA